CAAAATTAGATTTCCTCATCTTTTAATGAAATCTTTAGACCTGGGGTGGACTGATTGAGGAACAGAACTGGGTCAGACTTGTAAATGTCTGTCAGTGTTCTGCACTTGTTCAGATATTGGGAATCACATGTGAAATCCATGTTGGTTTGGTTCAAATGAACTCTGAGCCCTCCCTCCAGCCCCTGAGTGTTTTAAAAGACTTCCAGGGCTACAGGAAGCTGAGGGTGAGCTCTGTTGCTCTCATCTGTTCTCCATGTAAGAAAGCATATAACAGCACAATCATCCATGTGCAAATGGAGAAGTCCCTTGGTGTTTGGATAACCACATCCGTGCCTGGTCTTGAGTCTGTTATTTCTCAAAATTCTACTTTGCCATCTTCTACTTGTCCATGTGCAACAATATTTGAGGACGGCACCACTGTGGGACAGTTGGGACTGAGAGAGTGAAGCCCTGCAATCCATGGCAGCTTGGTTTGGGGCTTCCATTTGGTGTTTGGGTTTTAAATTGAGACTATAGGAAACAGGCATCTCATGTATCTGGCTCTCCACAGCACTTCGTAGGTGGACATGGTGGAGCCTGTGTGGTCCCGTGGAACACTATCTGTGAACCATCAAGACTGTTTCTGTTTATTGTTCTCTTCACTCTCCCAGATTCACTGTGGGATACGATCTCATTACGGGGACATGATTCCATTAGAGGGATATGACCCAGTAAAACAATGATACTAAGGAATGTCATACTTACCTTTTCCTTTTTTAAAAAAGAGTGACTTATTTAAAGCTAAAAGGGCCATCTTGTGTAAGAGAATTCACACATGAAAACAATCCAGCTTTTATGGGTGTCATGTTACTGGGGAAGGACAACAGAGAGTTGAAATTGTGGGTTTTTTCCTGAGGTGTTAGACTGAGGTGTTAGCAAGAGGGTTTCGATTGTAAATCTCTGCTTTCTAGGACTTTAATTTGAACAAATTGAAAATTGAACTCTTACTAAATTTAATTTAGAAGAGTAGTTGTTAACGTTCTGAAAAAAGGGAGTCAACAGAAATAAAATAATTTTTAAAAATTAGGGGCTGGGATTGTGGTTCAGTGGCAGGGTGCTTGCCTCACATGTGTGAGGCACTGGGTTTGATCCTCAGCACCACATGAAAATAAATAAACAAAATAAAGATAATGTGTCCATCTACAACTAAAAAAAATTTATTTTTTTTTTAAAAAATTAGCTGTATGTAGTACATGATATAAAGGAATAATTTCATTTTGCTTGGGAGAAAGCTTTCAGATCTTGTTTTCTCTTTCTCAGACACTGGGCTTTGGCATGTGGCTGGGCATACTGATTCCCTCAGGACCTGCCATGCCCCTACACTGGAAGAGAAAATGATTTTAGTAGATGATATTTGAGGACTATGAGAGGCACTGGCATCAGGTTAGAAGAATAGATCATAAGGAACTGCATGAGGAAAATGGTGGTAACCAAATACTACCTTCTACTGTGTCCTCCTTCCCTGAACATTTAAAGTCATGACAGGTTAGGAGCAAGTTCAGGCTTTCTGTGGATCTGGAAGGCATGTGTGATGCATATGTGTCTGCAGGGTCCATGTCAAAGTGTTGAGGTGTCTATCTGTGGTATCTAAACTTGTATACTTCTTATATATGTAAGTGACAGGGGATTAGGGACCACCTTGCTCCCTTTTCAAGTGGGAACTGAAGGAAATGTTCTTCAGTGGCAGTGACGTCCCTCCAGGTGAGCACCCCTTCTGCAGGGCTGGCTGGGGTTGCCCATCTTCCAGCCAAATCTAGACTCCGTGTTGTGGCAGGTGCAGCCAGGGGACAGCAGAATGCCATTGTTTGCTTTCTCTGGGCTGTGGTCTGGGATCACTCAGGAATAAAAGTCAAATGCTGCCTGTTTCATTGCTGTAAACAAAACCAAAACAGGTTATATAAGTAGACCAACTTTTCCTTGAAAGGTAGCCGTCTGCTACTTTGACAGAGCATAGCATTTCTAGGACTTTTTCAGAAACTGAAATGGTGGCTAGAGAATCTACTACCTCAAAAATAATTTTTTAATTGTTGGGGCTGTGGGGTTTGTGAAAAGAGTAGCATCATCTGTGTTATGTTCAATTTCACAGAGAGTTTTTCTTTATAGAGTCTCATCTTAAGTGAATTTTCACTACCTTATCCCTTCTTGACTACCTCTGAGGTTTTTCTTGAGCCCCAAGGAAGGGAAATGGTTCCTGCTTGGTCAGGGGTAGAACGAAGAGTCATATCAAGGCCTTTTACTTCAAATTGAGTGATTTGTATTTAAACAGCAAGGACTCCAAAAATTCTGTGTCCTTTATTAATTACTAAATCTTGAAAACTATGCTTTTTCTCATGATATTTATCTTGGACTGATTGGGAGAAGGAAGATTGACACAAGAGAAGACCTAGACACACACAGGAGAATATGATGTGAAGACAGAGGCAGAGAGAGGAGTGATGTGGCCTCGAAGCCATCAGTGCATGGAGATAACAGAAATTGAAAGAAGCCAAAAGGATCCTACCCTGGAGCCTTCAGAGGATGCGTGGCTCTGCTGATACCTTAATTTTGGACTCTGGTCTTCAAAACTTAATTTTGGACTCTGGTCTTCAAAACTTGTTATCTTACCCACCAAGTTTATGGCAATCGGTTATGACAGTCTTAGGAAATGAATACAGATTTTGGGTTAGATTACAGATTTTGTATTAATTTCCTAGGGTGACCATAACAAATTACCATGACTTAGTGTCTCACAAGAACAGAAATTTATGCTGTAACAGCTCTGGGGACCGTAAGTTGAAATGAGGGTGTTGGCAGGGCCACATTCCCTGAGGTTCCAGGGGAGAATCTATATCATGGCTTTTCTACCTTCTGGTGGCAATCAGCATTCCTTGACTTCCCAGGTTTGTGGCCACATCACTCCAATCTCTGCCTCTGTCTTGACTTCCTCTTTGTCTCTGTGTCTTCACTTCTCTCTGTCTATCCTAGTTACTACAAAATGCCATCTATTCTACTGGTCCATATCAGTTAACCTACAACCTGGTAGCTGGTGAAAACTGGTAGTTACTTTTTGATTCCTTTGCTCATTGCTTGGTACTAGTTATTGGTTATTGTTTAAGAAATTACTACAAAACTTAGTGGCTTCTAACAGTAATATGTATTTTGGTTGGGGTTGGGGGAGTACTGGGTTTTGAATCCCTAAGCACTTCACCACTGAGCTACAGCCCCAGCCATTTTTATTTTTTATTTTGAGACAGGATCTCTCTAAGTTGCTGAGGGTCTTGCTAAGTTGCTGAAGCTTGCCTTGAATTTGTGACCCTCCTGTGTTGCCTCTTGAGTCACTGAGATTACAGGTGAACGTCAATGTGCCTGTCTGCAACACACATTTATTCTCTTTCAGTTTCAATGAGCAAGGAGATAAGTTGATTTGTCTTGAGGATGCTCAAGAGCTCATAGTCTAGTGTTTGTAAGGTGTCTGTCATATGAAGAATTGATGGGGCCTACAAGGTCATCTACAAGATGCCCCAGTGGTATAGATGGCAAGTTGGTGCCAGCTGTAGGTGGGAGCCTGGGTCCCTCTCCACAGGGCTCTTTCAGTGCTTCATGACATGATGGGTGGCCTCTTCCAGAATGAGCAGTCCAAGAGTGCAAGGTGGAAGTGTCAATATCACCTGTGGTGTCACCTTGGAAGCAATAAAGTTATCAGCTCTTACAGTATTACACTGATCATCCAAGGAATGTACCGAGGCCTAAATGCCTCTGGGGGCCATGTTGGAGGCTCTTCTTTTCCATATTCCATTCTACTGATATATATATATTCTAACAGATCATTCTAACAGATATGTATATCTGGAAATATTGACCCTAGGATAGCTTTGCTGTTGAGCTAGAAGAGATAGCTTACCCTGGCTTATAGGCTACATCAGTATTCCTCAAATGAATTATCTGGGAGAAGAGGAGGGATCTTGTTGAACTACAGATTTCTTCTTCAGTAGGTCTTGGGTGGGCCTTGAGGTTCTGCATTTCTATCAGTCTTGCTGGTGGTGCTTACCCTGCAGGTCCTGCATGTCATAGCGGGGCTGCTCACCAAGCCTGGTAGAACACTGGAATTACCTGTGGAGCTTTAAAAACAGCTAATATCTGGATCTTACTCCAAGAAACTGTGATTTAATTAATCTGGAATTCAGTCTGAGTACTTTTTTTTTTTTAAGCTTCAAAATGATTCTGTTTTGAAGAAAACTTTGAGAACCACTGGACTGTGTTTCTGAGCCCTGTTTTTTAAAAAAGTGTAGTGAATAATGCTCTTCAGATCTGTGCTTCTGATCTTTTAAAAAGCCAGACTTGTAGTTCTAGAAGTAGTCTGACTACACCCATGGATGACTTCCAGGTCTCTACTTAGTGTGACTTGATAATTTCTTCTGTGTCCCCAGCACATGTTGTCACATAGTGGCAGAAATAGAATCCCTACCTTCGGGAGAGTGGTTTCCCTGATGAATACAATTAAAATATGCATGGTGAGGATATGGGTGCTGTCTTCTAGGGCCCCTGCTGTGTGAGCTTGCTCAGAGGCCCAGAAAGCAGGGGAAGGGAGCAAGTGCTCCCTTTCTTTGTCCTTGTAATTTCTAGCATGTTCATGTGCATAGTTTCTGAGTCAGGAACAAACTAAGAACTTTTATGGTTCCAGTGAATCCCTTGGTTATCAAAAGCAGATGTTTCAAACTACTAAGCTCAATGAGCCATATCCTATTTATAGGCTAACAATGGACTACTAGGTTTGGGTGTCCCAAATGGTCTAGGAGACTCTGGACAATGCCAAAAGTTCTCTCTACCCCTGACCCTCCCCAACCTAAAGCCCATTCCTAAAGCCCAGTTCCTTTGGCTAAGGAATTGATTGTATGTCAACAGAGTCTTGGACACTTTCTTATTGAATGCCTTCAATTCCATGCAACTTGGATTGATTTTTTTTCTTTTTATGAATGGTTTAGATTGGACGACTGATTATTGGCCAGAATGGCATCTTATCAACTCCTGCAGTTTCCTGCATTATCAGGAAGATCAAGGCGGCTGGTGGGATCATTCTAACAGCTAGCCACTGTCCTGGAGGACCAGGGGGAGAGTTTGGAGTGAAGTTTAATGTTGCAAATGGAGGTATGTGATTCAGAATATTCCACAAGCATGACTTCTTTCCTTTTCTATTATCATAGTCTTACCAGGACCCTCTGATGATAGATGAGCAAGGCAGAGAGGAATTGGCTCAAGAAAATGTAGTGAGGTGCCCAATGTGATGAAATAAGGAAGTAACATATTGGGCTCTTGAACCTATTTGGTTGGTTGCCTGCCTCCTGCACTGTTTAACACAGTGAAATAGCAGATAGTTGATGCTTATCTGATAATGGAAGGCCTTTGGATTTTAAAGTTGGAATATACTCTGAATGTCATCTAGACTGTTCCTTTCATTTTACAGATGTAATTGTAGTCCTGAGAGGCTGTGTTGCCGTGGAAGGTCATACTGTTCCTCAGGGACAGACAAATGATTTTAAACCTAAGTTCTAGGCTTTAACATTTAATTCTTCATGTTCACATGTTTTGGCATCATTCATGAAACTACCTTCCTAATGGCATAGAGAGATTTAATTGGATTTTACTATAGTATTGTGTGTTATGCAGATAAATCTAGTGGGTAAAAAACCAATTGTCTGCAGCATTAATAGGCACAGGGAAATGGGACATATTTGGAATGACGTGTCTTTTAAAATATATTTAGAGGTAGGACCATTCTAAACATGTTTTTAAGTGAAGGATAAATGGAAACCATGAAAAAATGCCAATGTTTTGAACACTTACAGTGGGCCAGTAACCATGCTTAGCACTTTTCATGTTGTTCCATTGAATTCCCATAACAAACTGAGGAAGTAACTGGGGAATTGAAAGATTAAAAAGTCCTTGACCAATAGCACAGAATAAGTTGTAGAGTTAGTTTAAAACCTAAACTCCAGGCAGGCAGAGGACTTATGAAGAAGGTGGCAAAAATGGGTACAGATGTAGTTTTATTTTTTTTTTCAGATGTAGTTTTAAAGGGTGCAGAATAAGTTGGCCTAACAAATTATGAAAAAAGGCTCATTGCCAAGATAATGGGGCAAGAACAGAGAAGGAACTTGGGATAAATGATGATATTTTGTAAAAATACTCTCAGAAATTTGTTGAGGAGTCTTAAGAAGTTGTGAGGATCCTGTTAAGCAGTCTCGTACTTCCAGAAACCCAGTTTGTATAACTTCACAACTTCCAACAGTGCCTGGGAGTCTGGGAAGGGTAGCAGGGGCAGATGATCGTGGTGTGCCAAGACCGGCAAAAGGTATCAAGGGAGCGGCCGAGCATCAAGATGGCAAGTATGGTGACAAGTGTCTGAGCTAACATCAGATTCTCAGGATTCAAATGCAGCCTCCGTGATATGACCTTCACTAAGTCATGCCATCTTTTCCAATTTCTGAGTCTCCATTTGGAAAATGAGGGTAATCATTCTACCTCTGCTTTTTTGAGTGCTAAATTTCATGTAAAGTATGAAATGTGTTCTTGTAAGTTTCCATACTTGTTGCCTTGAGCTCTGATGCTAATAAAGGCAGGGCTCAAATGGTGGACCACAGAGTCCCCTCTGGATCAAGAGTCCAGTAAAACTAGAATTGGCTGAGGGCCTGAGATTGATCAAGTGACAACAGCCTTCAGTGTAGGAGTGAGGAATGGGTCAGGAGTATCAGGTGAACAGATGATAAAGAATTCGTGGACTGAAGAGGTTTAAAATCGATATTTTCAAAAGAAGGATTTTAAGAGAGAAAAAACAGTTAAGTTATGCCTGTGCCCAGCAGTGATTAAAGTAAAGAGAAGAGGAAAGTCATTGGAGTGGACAGTGTTAAGGGACTTGGAAGTTGCCAAGGAGTTCAGAAGTTGTTGGTGAATGATGAGATTTTCAACATGGATGGTTGAGTGGCATCACAGACAATCATGTAGCCTGCTAGAACCACTGTGTTTTGATATTAAAGCTCAGGGACTTCTTAAAATTAATAGACACAACCAGAGATCATGATGTGATACTGTAGGCAAAGAGGGTGCAGGGGCATATTCATACATCTGGCAAACATAAAATATGCAAGGACTACTTACTTTTTAAGTTTATGAAGGGTAAAAAATAATAAGGAATGAAGGAGAAGGGCAATATTTATTTATTTGAGGTTTTCACTTTTTCTGTTCAAGGAGGTAATTGTTGGTGCAATCTATGAGGCTGTCCATTGCCATGCCTTTTTATGGACATTTTTTAGGAGACAGTAATGAGGCTGTACTCAAAGGCAGCATTGTCCAAAATAAATATATTATGAATTACATATATAATTTTAAATTTTCTAGTAGCCACATTCAAAAGTATAAAATAGAATAAGTGAAATTAATAGTATATTTTATTTAATGTGCTATATGATAAATATTATTTCAACGTGTTATAAACTTATGAATGCAAACTATTATGTTTTAAAAATTCGTTTATTCATTCATTCATTTATTATGTGGTGCTGAGGATTGAACCCAGTGCCTCACACTTGCTAGGCAAGTGCTCTACCACTGAGCCACAACTTCAGCCTGAGTTCTTAAAATTTTGATGTGCATTTTGTAACTGCAGCACATCTCCATTTGATGAGCCACATTTCAAGTGCTCAATAGCCAAATATGGCTAGTGGTTGTTGTATTGGATAGCACAGCTCGAAGGATTGACATAAAAAACAAAGTAAGAAATAATTTGTGTTTAGTAGAAAATCATAAGTTACTTGGTAAGTAATAAGTTTCATATATAAAACTATTTCTTTTATATATTAGATATTTCAATGTGCTTTTTTTTAATTCCCAGCCCTCTTGCAAAAAATACCTTTAGAGGCTTACATTAAAATATGTAGGGCTGAGGTTGTAGCTCAGTGGTAGAGCACTTGCCTAGCAAGTGTGAGGCACTGGGTTCGATCCTCAGCACCATATAAAAATAAATAAATAAAATAAAAGTATTGTGTTCATCTATAACTAAAAAATTATTTAAAAAGATATGAATATTAAAAATAAGAAAATCAAGGGGAGAACAACTATTGATCCCATGTATGATGCATTTAAGGTCTTTCACTCCTTAATTGTCTACTGGACCTGATGAGGTGTGACTAGAGAGTGTGACTTGGGGAAAAAGATTTACCTGGTTAAGCTCATACATCAACTAGGCAGGAGAGCTGAGAGTAGAAATCAGATTTTCTTTCTCTAGGTGGACTTGCGAAGCTGTGGTTTGAATCTGGGATCCCTCACTTGTGTCAAATGCATATCCTGTTTATGTCTCATATCCTGAATAAAGCTGATTACATAACTGGGTCTCCCTAGCAGGTGTGAAACTATTTTTACAGCAGATGTATCATTGCCTAGAAGTGGATTAAAACAAACAAACATGCGGGTTATTGGTCTGTATAGAGCAGGTGAGGCTGACCAAATTCCCTCTATTGTGAGTGCATGCAGGATAAGAAACACTCAGGATAACTGAACTGTGAATGATTGTTCATTGTTTAGAGACCAAATGAATCTTTCGCCATCTTGGTGGAGGATGATAATATTTTTCTGATTGAAATTCCTGAGACTTAAAAAAATGGGTTTTGGATGTTCAAATTATAGGTCCTGCACCAGATGTTGTCTCAGACAAAATCTATCAGATCAGCAAAACAATTGAGGAGTATGCCATATGTCCTGATCTTCGAATTGACCTGTCTCGACTAGGAAGACAAGAATTTGACCTGGAGAACAAATTTAAACCATTCAGAGGTAATATAGAGATTACATATATTTTAAAGAAGTCAGAAAAGCCCCATGGATGGGAGTGCCTTCCAAGTGGGGTACATACTTTAGAGTCTAGGTATTGCATGGGTAGAGTGGGGCTCTCCTAGTTGGTGATCAGTGGTTCTGTAGGCGAGTGGACTCATGAAAATTACTGAAGTATCAATCTAAAAGGTGACTATGGATAAACATGTGGAAACTGTATGTAGTATGGAGAGATGTGATCAGCCAACATATCCAGAATTGGATGCTTTGAAAAATCACTTCCCGAATTCTTTTGTTTTATATGTAGAAAAAGTTCTATAGTTGACTTCATCATGTCATTCCTGGAAAAGATAATGACTTGCTAAAAAGTTACCTTTGGATTTCTAAGAAATTAGGGCAAAGGTGCTAGAATATCTTAGATACTTAAGAAGAGAGCAAACAAGTCAATGGGGTCATTACATTTCCTATGAAAGCCACAAATTTCTTTTGCAAGCCAGAATCATGCTGTTCAGCCTAATTTAATGCACAATTACTGATCACCTACTCTATACCAAGCATAGTTGGGAGATTTTACAAAGAAATTCACTAATTCCCAAATGTATTTATGTAAGTGGTTTAAGAATTCAAGAATCATAATGAAATTAATAAATAATATATAACAGAGTGAATAAATGAATAAAACTTCTGAAGTACTCCAAACAAAACCCATTATTTGATTAATTTTGAACCATATATTAACATTAATACCATGTGTGTATATTATTTTCTGCTTCTATATTGTCCTATTGCTTTTTCCCAGAAAGCATTTAAATAGCATCAGAACTAACATGTTTATTCTTTTAGTGACCCTACAAGATTGAATACAGTTTGTGTTAAGATGCTATCTTTGTATGTCATTTAACTTGGCTGAAAAGATACAATTATTAGTTCATGCTCTCTCAATATTTTTAGAGACAGAGAAAAGTTTAAAATGGATGGTCCAGGGGGCTATTGTGTTGGGCCAATGTTATAAAATGTTTCTTAAAAATTTTTGAGTCAATGGTTTGCTCAGCTAGTGAACAGAAATTTATTGAAACATTGTGATATGCACTGTAAGCAACAGTGCCTGTTTTTATTAATCTAGTTAGGAGTAAGTACATGGACAGGTGTGTACACACATGGAATGTCTAGACAACTGAGGACAAGGGATATGTTATACTAAACAAAATGGTTTGAATATGCTTGACTACATATGTTTGGAAGGACTGGACTATCAGATGACTGAGAAGTATTGGGTATTACCATTGGGAGGAAGTTTATTTATTTATTTTTGGTATTGTCACAATGTTTATTATAGTTGTCCAAGAGTCCCAAGTCTTTGGTGAGCTCAGATTTGAGCTCATTGCTGCAGCCATATTGTGAGTTGGATGACTTTTCTAAAGTGCTGTTGCTAATAGAGTGTGTGTGAAGGATTCCCTGGCTCCAAGAGCATTTGGAGATAATCTTTTGAAATCATTTGTGCACTACATTCTTGCTGCTTCAAGCATTGAAGGCTTGAGTTAATTGGAAGCAAATTAGCCTTTAGAGTATCACCTTAATGTGTCAAGAGCATGAACTATCAGATATAAACTGAATTTTCAAGAACTGCTGGTTTCCTTGTTTTCATATTTCTGTTTGGTACTATGTGTTAGCTGTTGTAAATACCAAATGCCTTTAGAAAAGTGGTTTAAGAATTAAATAATCAGAGTGAAATTGCCAAAAATACCATCCTATTTTATTGAGTGAGTAAAACTTCTGAAATACTCAGGGTATAATATTTTATTTTATAGATAAATTTTTATTTTGGCAAAATAGATATAACATAAAATTTACATAGCATACACTTTGACCATGTTAGCCATTTTAGGTATATAGTTCATGGAGACTAATGTTTAATTGTTTTCTAGATTAATATCCTCCTCATTTCAAAAGATAATAAAAACATGACTTGTTCCTTAAAGTGTTACATTAAATTTGAATGGACAAACATACTTTGATATAAATGTAAAGGAAAGAATTTTTAGGTGTGTATTTGACCATATGAAGGGAAAATTTTATATCATATGTTAAAATCTTATCCATTAAATATTGTATCTGATTGTCCTGAAAATTATTGAAGGTGGATTGGTAACATCTCCATTACAGATTTAAGCATTTCAGGGCTCCCAAGTGGTATGTATTTGAAAAAATAGAAAAGCAATATATCTGTGTTTTATATTTTAACTAAAAATTTAAAAAGCAAGACTCTTGGGTAAAATTTTAGTTCCTCAAGAGTAGTCAGGTATTTATTGCTTTTAGAAAGTATTTTATGATAATTAATTATATACTGATGCTGAGTGTGGAAAATATGGTGCATTCTGGGTTTTTCAGATGTCAAATAAGTGGAAAAGACTTGTTCTGAATTCCTGGTCATCAGATGGTGCCAGACACTGGAAAACACTTGTGTTTAATGAGGACTTTCAGATATTTGTCATTTACCTGAAAAATCGGCTACTAGATTTGGTACAAAAAGCATTTCCTGCAAACTCAGGAATATAACTATCATAATTAATTCTGCATTTGAATCTGATGGGCACAAAGGCATTTGGAAAATAGGGGTCATTACTGAGGTCACTCTGTTATTTGTTTCACACCAGCTGAGTCATTCTTTGGCTAACCCCCATAGGAAAGGCAACTGGATATGCCAAGATGCCTGTTAACAATGATACATGTGCATTTTGAGGAAGAGAGATGGTGTCAAGAAGGTGAGGGTACTGGTGACAGAGTACATTTTTTATCTTAAATTATTCTTGTGGTTAATTTTTCACTTGTAAAGAAGAATTTATAATTTGATATTATTTTTACCCATTGATCATCTGAAAAGTTTGTAGCATCTTGACTATACCTCAATTTGTGATTTTATCTACAAAAGGACCCTGTACCTTCCAGGTAACACATGGAGTTATTGTGTTAGGTCAGAACTGTGATCAGAAGTTCATGCAATTAGGATAGTCACAGTCTTTACACTTCTAAGTCTTTTTCCTGGATATGGTCATTGACACCCCGCTTTGTTTCTCTGATGTCAGTGGAGATTGTGGACCCTGTGGATATCTATCTCAACCTCCTTCGGACCATCTTTGACTTTAACGCCATTAAGAGTTTGCTGACTGGGCCAGGCCAACTGAAGATCCGCATTGATGCAATGCATGGAGGTGAGCTAGTGGTTTTCCACAAAGTGGTGAGTGAGAAATGTCAAGCAGTCTTCTTCAAATGTTGGATTTCTGAGATTTTGAGGAAGTTGGATTCACCAGTAATCACACAACTTGTGTGTGTTCAGGTATTTGGAAGGTTCTGGAAAACTTAAGTTCTCTAATTTCTTTTTTTTCAGCATAACATGAAAACAAAAGTTGAATAAATGAGTTTGAGGCTATGTCTGTGAGAGTGTGGAGTGGATTAAGACTGTATTTATTTACGTGTTTGTGATCAAAGCACATGCTGTAATTTAAATAATCAAGTAATTCTAAGTTTGTTATGAAAAAAAATCCTCACCTCATTCTTTTCTCAATTTCCTACTTTCAGAAGTCAACACTTTTTAATTCTTGTATTATTATTATTATTTTTTTTGTATTTATCTACCCTGTCACTAAATGTGAATACACTGTTTCTGGTGACTTTTCAGTGTTGAGCATCTCTGACTTCATACCATGTTAAGTTCCCTTTGTGGGCCTATGCAGTCATCTCCCCACCCCCAGCCCCTGGATACCAGTTATTTGCTTTCTGCCTCTATTGTTTTTCCTTTTCCAGAAAGTCATAGGAATGGAAGCATAAAGTTTGTAGACTTTTACTTCAGGTTTCTGTCATTCAGCATAATGTTTTTGAGATGCAGGCATGGTGTTGAATATATCAGTATTTGCTTCTTGTTATTGCACAGCAGTATTCCATTGTATTGATGTACCACAGTTTATTTATCCATTCTCTGGTTGATGGAATTGAGGCTTTTACCCCCAGTTTTTGACTATTCTAAATAACATTGCTATGAATATTTACAAACAAATCTGTACGGGAACGTATATTTCCATTTGTCTAGGTTAAGCTCCTAGGAGTGAGATTGCTGAGTCTGATGACAAGTGTATGTCTAACTATGTAAGAAACTATCAAACATTTCCCCAAAGTAGACGTACCATTTATATCACATGCGGTGCCGGAGTGCTCCAGTTTCTCTCCATCCTTGCTTGGCATTGTCGGTCTTTTCGATCTCAGCCATTCTACTCTATCTTGTTCATTTCTACTAGAACATGATTGATATATTTTTTTTTAAAGTTTTCTTCTCTCTGTATAATTTATTGCCTCTAGGTTTCTCTTTACTCTTTGTTGGTTTCACACTTATGTTAATTGTGTTCCTCAAAATTTTGGTGGTTTTTGGCTGGGAGCTCTGAGCCCACTGAGAGTTGGATCCTCCATGGGCTTTGGTCTAAGGGATTCTGTTTGGGCTGCTTTGTTCTTTCTTTTGAGCTGATTATATTCCCCCCAAAAAAAGATCTTCTAAGTTTTTGCCTTAGCTTTATGTGACTTAGAGAAAAGAGGTCCTCTTTCCAAAGAGTTTGAACAATATTTATGGACTGGAGCCTCATTACCAGACTTATACCATGTCCATCTCTGAATCAATTACTCTAGCTGGGGACAGAGGACATTAATCAGGTAGACCTAGGTCACCTCCTTAGCCGTGGGTGCAGTGGGATTTAGCTGTACTCAAACGATATGGATTAAGATGGAGAAGAAAGTGGTTTACCAGAAGAAACCCCAAAATGCTGCTACTAAAGGAAGAGAAATGGGCACTAGGCAGTCAAAATTAAAACAATGATAAAAACAAAAAATGTTTACTGTCTGAGGATATACTATGTTGGTGGCAAATATATGAAAATGATAATTTACATAGATCTCACCTAACAGGATTACACAGGAGTACTCAAATGTGCCTGATGTGCTACTGCAGGCTCTGTTCCCTTACATGTGGGTGGAACTCTCCCACCCATGTCAAATATATGTTCTTCTTCAAGTTTCCCCAGGAATTCTGCTTCTTCCTGGAAGCCTTACCTGTGCTCATGGCTCCTCTTAAACCATTGGATCTAATTATTTTATAAATGTGCTTTGAATGGCACCTCTTTTAATTTTACCACTCCAGTCTCTCATCTGTAGCTTTGACTCATCCCATGATTAGATTAAGAGGCCAGGAATATACAAACTACGTGCTTTGCTTCTGTCTCTTCAATATCTAACACAGGAGTTCTATATTAAGCATTCCATTCCAGGGAACAGGGAAATACTATTCCTTAGCACGTATTTTGCAAAATGTGCTTAGTTTTATATGCTACATGAGTGGTTTACAGTGTTTACACATTTGGCAATGTTCAAAGATTGCACAGGCAAAGGACATTGTAGAACCCATTAGTGCTTTTGCATATATTTGGCTAAAGCACTTAATACATGAAAAACAGCAGGTAATGAATCATTTTTATATGGTTGATTTCTTTCAGGCAACATATTAGAAAAATTGGGGGAGAAAAACTTTGTTTAGTGGGATTATTGACTACATTTTCTATATGCCTAACATAGTCACTGGCACATAGTTGCTCAATAAATGTAATAAATGTGAATATTATTTTCTGCTGTGTCTTGGAAAAGCCTGTAAAATTTATCTTTTTATCCTTCGTGATTAAGCGGGCTTGCTTGTTCTTACCAGAACAAAATACCAAGGGGAAAGGATTCTGCAGATAATTCACATCATTGTATGTCTTATTTTTTCTTTTTTCTTTTTTTTAGTTATGGGACCGTATGTGAGAAAAGTTCTGTGTGATGAGCTGGGGGCCCCAGCCAATTCTGCAATAAACTGTGTTCCCCTGGAAGACTTTGGAGGGCAGCATCCCGACCCAAATCTGACATATGCAACAACCCTTTTGGAAGCCATGAAAGGAGGAGAATATGGATTTGGAGCTGCATTTGATGCCGATGGGGTAAGTATGAAACTTTTCTGTCTGCTGACTCTTTTACCATGTTTTGAGCCAAGCATTGAAAACCAGAAAATTAATGAACACATCTGGAGCTGACATGCACAGGGCATGTGGACCCTAACTGGCTATGCATCTGTTCTCTTCTTTAATGGCTAAATATTGCAATTAAATAGTCACTACTTTTTTTAGTTTCAGATGAACATGTGTTATAAAGAAGCTATTTCTTTTAAAAATATTCATATAATAAATCTTTATTTATAGCTGGTTTTATTGAAAACACCCTGTTAGGAACCAGCTATTCAGTGATAAGCTCTGCTCCCATTCTGTTTGGAAGGAAGCTGGAATTAAAGCTATGGAGGCCACTGAAGCATGAAGTAGTCATGCACATCTCAACAGGTGGAACACATTGCTCGTTGTGTCAGGATTCTAGGCCCTTGATGTTCAGGGATTTATAAGGATTCCCATGCTCTCTTTGGCCTCATCCAAATGGTTTTAGGTTGTTTAAATGTAAGATGACAGTAAAGTGGCTTGGGATGATTATGGGAATGGGCTGCTTGTAGCAGATGCTTCTGTCTGATAATTTTCACACATTCCTTCCCACAGGACCGTTACATGATCCTAGGCCAAAATGGCTTCTTTGTGAGTCCTTCTGACTCCCTGGCTATCATTGCTGCCAACCTCTCTTGCATTCCATATTTCCGTCAGACAGGAGTTCGAGGGTTTGGGAGAAGTATGCCAACCAGCACTGCCCTAGACAGGTAAGCAAGGATGCCACTGTTAAAAACACTTTATGATAGATGTCTGATGTCAACATACCCTTTGTTGGCAGCTGGTACTCATTCTCCTCTAATCCTCTGTGAACATGTTGAAAGCATAGGAACTTAGAGACATGGTATGGTTTACCGGGTAGAAGTACCGAAGATCAGTTGGCCTGAGCTTGTTTCTTATTTCTTATTTGAGCTCTGTGCCTTCATTTTCTTACCAATAAAATGGGGGTAATGATATCATCCTTACATTGATCGTTATGAGGTATGAATGAGGTGACTCATGAAACACATTTAACAGGACAAACACTTTGTACATATACTTCACAGACTAGTAAAAGAACTTACTAAATATGAAAGTATATATAAATGAAGTGGTACAGAGTATGGAGATTGAGGTCAGAACATATTATTTATAAAAGTTTGCTTGTACCTTCATTAGCTCTGTAAAAATGGGATGGTTTATTGTTAGAATGCTATGAGAGAGCGATGGAAATTGCCCAGGAGGAGATTGGTCAATGTTGACCAATCACTATGCAGTAAATCTCCTTTCTCTTACCCTTATTACCATCTCCTATCTTGACTTACAAAACAGTGAATTTGAGTCTAATATTTTAAAAACAGTATATATTATTATTAAAACAGGACATGTGCATGGTGGAAAGTTGGAGAACACAGACAAACAAATAACAAAATTTATATTCCTTACTGAAAATCTTTCCATAATATATATTGTACCAATATAACTAAAATACATAATATACACAACATGTATGTAATTTAATGCCAAAAGGAGATCAGAAAGAACATATTGCTTGTAAGATGTTTTTCTTGTCCATTAACAATCTCCAATGTTCTATTAATACAATTTTGTGGCATGTGAAACCAAGATCATATTTTAATTTCCCCCGAGTGTCCCCCAAATGTCTTTCATGATAGGATTCCATCCAAGACTTACCTGTTGCATCTCTTAGGTCTTTTCTTCATCTGGTGCAGTCCTTTTCTCTTGTATTTAATGACAGTGATTTTTGAAGAAACTTTACCAGTTGTCCTGGGGAGTCCCACCTTCTGGATTGTGTAGTTTTTTTTTTCTTGTAATGTTCTTCATTTAATCGTTTATCAAGTAAAAATTTGTATAAGTGAAATGCATAGCCTTAACCGTTCAGTTCACCAAGTTTTGAGAAATGTATACACTTCCATAACCACCACCCAGGTTTCCATCACCCCATGTCCCTCATAGGCAATCATTGCAACAGTTTCTATCACCATGTGTTTGCCTTATTTAAACTTCGTACAAATGGAATCATGTACTATATACTTCTTTGTTGCTGTGTTTTTTATTTACCTACATCTATAGCATGTGTTAGTAGCTCATCTCTTTTTTGTTTCTGTGTGGTGTTACTAATACATGAGTTTATCCCAATTTATTTTTCCAATCTCCCATTGATGGACATTTCGACTGTTTCCAATTATTAACTGTATGAATCATGATGCTATAGCACTCTTATATAATAATGTTTTTGTGGACACATTTTCATTACTCCTGAGTAAATATCAAGGAGTGGAATGGTGATTTTAGGATAGATGTAATGTTTAATTTTACAATAAAATACCTGGCTTTCATTCTATACTCTTACTTGCAATTTATGAGAGTTCCAGTTGTTTCATATCCTCAACAACATTTAGACTTTATTTTAGCCATTCTAGAAAGTGCAAAATATTATTTCATCATTGTTTAGATTCACATCATCTCAGTTACTGGTGAGGTTGAGTTCAATTCCATATGTTTACTGACCATTTGTGTAACTTCTTTTGGCATATCTGTGGAATGTATCTGCTCATTTTTAAAGTTAAGCTCATTATACTTTTATTATTATTGATTTGTAGAGGTTCTTTATATTTTTTGGATAAGTCTTTTGTCATATATATATATATATATATATATATATATACACATCTATATCTCAAATATTTATTATTTGAGAGAGATATATATCAAATATATATATATATATATCAATCAAATATTTTCCCTGCCTCTTGCTTGCTTTTTATTTTCTTAATTATGACTTTTGATGAGTAAGTTTTAAATTTTATGAAGTCCAGTTTATTAATAATTTTTATTGTAATTAATTATGTTTATTATGTATATTTTCATCTTCTATGAGAAATATTTACTTACTCCAACTTCAAAAAGATGTTTTCTCTCTTAGAATCATTACTGTTTTAACTTTTCATTTATGTTTATGATTTCTATTAATTTTTATGTATGGTGTGAGGTAGTAGTTGAGGGTTATTTTTTCCTATGTCTAGTTGTTCCAACCCTATTTATTGAGAGAATTTCCTTTCCTCTGAATAGCTTTTGTGTCTTTGTTAAAAAATCAGTTGGCCATATATATGTGTATCTATTTCAGGATTCTCTGTTTTGCTCCCTGATTTTATTTGTTGATCCTTATGAAAATATTACACTGAAATCAGGTGAATTTGCCAATACGTTTTTCTTTTTTTTTGTGTGTGTATATCCCCATCCATTCTTCCATCCTAGATCCTCTGCATTTCCACATACATTTTCATATCAGCATGTCAATTTCCACCAGAACCTGTTGGGATTATGATTTTTGTTTGTTTGTTTGTTAAGTCTATAGAGCCATTTGGGGAGAATTACATTTTAATAATATTCAGTCTTTCAATCTATGAATGTGGCATATCTATCTATTTAGATTTTCTTTAATTTCTTTTGTGTGTATTTTATGTTTTTTAGTATAAAGGTCTCCTATAATTTATAATTTTTGTAAAGAAATATTTCTGTTTTCTATATTTTGATGTGATTATAAATGGAATGGTTTTTATGAATATAATTTTCCAGCTGTTGGCTACTAATGATTAGAAATATAATTGATTTTTTAAAAATTGACCTTGTATTCCTTCATCGGATGCCTCCCACTTTACTTTTCTTCTTTAGGTGATATTGACATCTAGCCCATAATGGTGAACTAAACACAGTTTAAGATTCTTGCATAGCTGTACCAAAGAGCAGGTTTGAGTTCATTTACATTTACTTATATCCTTCTTCATATTAAAAAAAAAAGCTTAATAAAATTGTACAGAATGAAGCAAAGAATGGGACCATCTCTAGAAATTGAGAATTTAGTTATATAGGACCTCGAGTGCTATATAGGTTACTTAATATTATGAAATTGTGTTTAATAATAATACCTTGCACATATATAGCCAATCTTACAATGTAGAGAGAATTTTCATACAGTTATTTCACTAGATCTTGGTAATAATTTTATCTCTATATTAATGATACTAACCAGTGATCAGAGAAGTTGATTTTTACAAGGTCCCACAGCTCATTAGAAAGTGTCAGGATTTAAAACTAGGTCTTCTGATATAGTTTTCTAATGTATCTGCCCAGTAACTACAACTAGATTGGAAGGGTCCCTGAGAAACCAGTAGAGAATATTGCCCAACCCTCCTGTGGGGTAGCCAGCAACTTTTCAAATGATGGCCAAGCGAGGCTGGTTTTATTTTGACAACAAAAACCATTTGTCCTCTTTTCTTGTGGAAATTTCCCAGTACTTCTTGATTTCACTTTATCCCCCCCTTCCCTATAAATCTCTGTGTCAGTCAGAAACTAGAGGCCTTGCTTAGAAATCTCACAAAGAACCTGTTCTGATATGTAAGTGACCATTTAAAAGGATTATTCATGCTTGCTGGTTGGGATTCAGACATTCTGTGGGGCTCTGACGTGGTGATTTGTTTTGGGTATTTGATCTGTTGTGTAGCTCCCAAGTGGATTCTCATGATGGACACTTCATAAGCTTCATTCTTCCTAGGTAAAATTAATGCAGCTTCAATATGTTGATCTTGTCAGTGGTTTCCTGTATAGCTTATTTTTTTGAATTAATAAAATCATAGGATTATGTCCATAAATGCCAGGCCCCCAAAGAATAACAATTGAGTAGCAGAGACACATTAAATGACCCACTTGCCTAATCTCCTGGGATTCCAGAATAAGGGGGGGGGCCTGCACCTTTGAAACTGATGAATTATTCAGACAAACTTCCATTGTTCACAGATAATTGTTGTTTCCCAAGGGAAGACTTTCAGTGTCTTTAATTTCTACTCTTACAGTGTCACTAGAACAAGGATTCCGTTTACCTCAGAATAATAAAGTTTCAGCCCTGAAAATGGCATTCTTTTGGGGCTTTGTCATTCTGAATATGTCTGATCTGTGGTTATAGATGAGTCTTTGTTGCTGAAAATATTTTGGTTCACATGATTTGACAAGTAAAGCTCATTCAAAGTATATTTGTGGCCTGAGGTTTGTTTCTACCCCACGTAGAGGTATTAAATAATCCTCTATGTCATCATCCTTCAATAATATTTATGAAGCACCCATCTGTGCTTGGGGCTGTGCTGAATGCTGTGCAAAACAAGGCAAACACACAGGCTTGAATCCTCACTGGGGATATTTACTCTCTCAAACAAGGCCAGCATCCGTGGAGACATACAGAGGAGCCAGATAGGAGAAGTGTTTTGACTATGAGGAAGGCCATGGGAGGTCCACACCCATGAACATGGTGGTGAGGGAATAGGTTCTCTTCTACCCTTTCTTTGCTCTTTGTGCCACCCTTGTTTTCCACCATTTATTCACTCAGGAGATAGTTATTAAGGACCTTCTATCTCCTATACATGGTCCTCTACCATGGTAGAAATTTTAGTCTAATGGGGGAGACAAAGAATTAAAAAGTAAAGAAAAATTACAGAAATGCAAATTGTAACACAGGATGGGGAAGTGAACTTGGTGCAGTAATAATTGGTGGGAAGAGAGCATCCTGCTTAGATAGAGTAGCCAGGGAAGGACTATCCCAGGAAGTCATAATTAGGACCAAAGAGCAAAAACATGCAGCTGGATCTGGCTGTGATGCTGGGATTAGAAATGACCCATAGACCACATGTGAAAATACTTATTCCTGAGACTGTAG